TTCTGTGCCTGTCAATCAGAGACAGTATCCCATCATTCCAATATCAGTCATTCCTCGTGACTTTATTTCTTCTGCTGTCTCTGTTGGTTTCTTCTTTACAGGTGGAGCAAATCTGCACAAGAAACCATTTAAGGGTTTTCAGTCAGTCTCTGCCCTCATTCTGCTCAGTGCTTTGCTGCACCTGGTTCAATGATCTTTTCTCCTCTCTGGATGTCGGTAGTGGTCACCGTGACCATCTTTGGTAACATTTCAGGGTGAAGGTAGCTTTAATTAGCGGACTCCATTTTTTGCCCCATAGAGTTTCACCTTTCTTTGTGGGATACCAAAGGGAGGTTGCTGTCTCTCCGTCAATCAAAGTGGTGAGTTGAGCTGCTGACTTGCACTTTTCCTGATTGAGTTAAAATCTTTAGTGATTACAAATGAATGGAGAGGTTTAGAAAATTCAGAGCTGATGATTAAACCTGTCTGAATGTTAAAAGGATGCTAGTGCTTCCTGTTTTATGCTTTCTTTTCCTCCACTGGATAAAACCATGCTCACAACTGCTCATGAGTACGACAGGACACATTAAAACTCTGAGTTGAAACTGTTCATCCTGAAACCTAGCCACCGTCGCGCCACACGTCACTCAACTCGGCCACTTTTAATTACCAGGAGAAGGAGGTGTGCCGCTCTCTTCAGTTCTGCCTCAGCAGAGATTTGTCAAGATTAATTGAATTTGCTGCTGCTAATCGCTCTGGTAATGCCCCATCGTTCACGACTAGCTGGGAATGCAGGGCCTTTGGGTACCATCCAAGTCATGCTTTTGCCTTTTATGGTTGTCTCAACCAAAGAGAAGTGGTACATAAAGCCCATGTGTCGTAGCTGAGACTTTGTGTAGCTAAGCTGAGGGTCGAGTGCGATTTTGCATTTGACAAGGGCCTTGATGTGAGTGGTGCTCGTGTGACACAGGCGCCGTGTTCCCAGTCACCTGAAACGAGAAGGTGACAGAAACAACAGATCTGACACACACGTGCAGACACACAACGCTGCCAGCTGAGCTCAGACAACTTCCTGAAACGTGTGTGTGTGTGTGTGTGTGTGTGTGTGTGTGTGTGTGTGTGTGTGTGTGTGTGTGTGTGTGTGTGTGTGTGTGTGTGTGTGTGTGTGTGTGTGTGTGTGTGTGTGTGTGTGTGTGTGTGTGTGCAGGATTGCCCTGGTGAAATATAACATCCGCCAACAAGTCAAATCATATCTCGTTGAGCTAAAAAGCCCTGCGGGGGCCTCCCCGCCACGTAGCATCGTTTTTGCCATTTGGAACAGAGCAAGACAAAATGGCTCAACTTAACTCTCATTTCACACTGTCATGTCCTGCTGTAGCCTGCTGGATCCCATTAAGCTGTCGCAGATCCACCAACACAACTGCAGCATGTGTTTACTGCAGTGAACAGCTTACACTGCAGTCCTGATACAGATGTTTCCCACATAAATAGGTAACCTCTCCAGTGAGAGAACCGTTCCCCCATCCTCTCCAGGGCACGGTGCTAGATCAT